CGTACTACACCTAAAAGGCCAAGATGGTTTAGGTATTCTACGATCCTCAACTTCAGTAGGCTCTCAGGTCAAAAGCAACACGTCTTCCCGATTAATCGGTAAACAACGATATAGTCAAAGGGGTCTCCACTGAGTGGGGGATCTCATGCCTCCTTTTTTGGGATTAATCCCTCAAAGTTAACATGACTATACCGCCCATTCTATCTTAAAGCTTGCCCAAGTCCGGGTATAGGACTCATAAGTAATCACCAAGCACCCTGAAAACCAGGAAAATCTAGACGAACATATATACAACATATAACACATAAACAACAATAGCATATATACATATATAAACAAAGATAAGTTTAACCCACTTAGGGATGGATCAACAAGAGGTCAATTTGTCCCCAGTGAAGTCGCCATTTTTCTGTAGCAGTAGAAATGTTTAAGACTAAGCCATTGGGTTGACTAGACTTATACATATCAAAATAAAAATCGCCACCGCGCTTTATTGTTTCCAAAGGAATGGGAAAAGAGTGAGTAACCCAAAAGAGGGGGGGAAATTCAAGGTAAGAGGGTTGGTTATGTAAAGGGAAGGTATTAGCACCCTAAACATCTACGGTACTCTGTAGGAACCTCTTTGGAAATTCTGCATATTTTGGCTATAAAATGTTGTATGTAAAATAGATGATGGAGGTGAGAAAAGAAATATATATTTTTTATAATTTTTGCACCCGTCGCGGTTACGAACCTTTAGTGCCTACGTACCACTTTTCATGCAATAGGGGATAAGGATACACGTAGTTCCTCTTTAAAAAATTTAAAACACAAGTGTGTTGGTTAATTTTATGAGATAAGACATCATCATTATTGTCCATGTGGAAAATATACTTACTATCCATAATCATGAGAAAGGAGAATTTGCATCATCTCAAAGTGGAGGATATAGCTTGTATTTTAAAATCAACAATGCCTCACTCAACACCCAAGTGTAAAATATCTCTCTTCACTACATATTGTAGAAGTATAGTTGTTTGCATCACTACAAGGATTGACAAGAGTCTAATCTTTTGAGAAAAGTTTTAAAGTAAAAAGACAAAGTGGCTAAATGATTTGAATGAGATTGGTTGACTTTTAGTTTTCTCACAAAATTGTCAAGGTATTATTAAGTTGATTGAAGTTTGTTTATGAAAAGATTTTGAAAATGCATGGACATAAGTTCAAGTTTATTATGAAAATGATTCATGTTTAAAAACAAGAAGGGTTTTCAAAAGGAGGAAGAAGATTTTTTGAAATTAAAGAAGATGGGAGGAGAAGAAGAGATTATCCTAAAGCATAAGGTAAAAGTTAGGGATAAGAACCATCTAACCAACAAGAAGCCAATACTTGACATTATGAGTCAAGATATAATTATCATTCTTTGGATTGAAACCAAACAAATAAAGATACTAGATCCCTTTAGAAAACCAATCTTTAAGTGTATTAAGTCTTCACAAAAATTGGGAAGAGTAACGGCTGCACACAGGTGAATTCTAGATTACAAATAAAGTATGTAATCACAATAACCTGCACACACAAAAAAAAACCCAATGTCTTGAGGTAAACCTCAAGAGCTCCAGACAAAATATCAATTAAGGTCATAAGATCTCCAACATAGGCCAAGGTTCCTAACTCTAAGTCCAAGAAGTCCAATACTCCATAACGCCAAGGATAGTAACCAAATAGTCTAAACATCATTAAAGCATTTTTTAGGGTTCATGTTGATTATTAGGTATCTTAAAAAAGAAAAAGAAAAGCTCAAATGAGCAAAATAAAAAATGACAAAAATATAAATGCTCAAGTGAGCAAAAATAAAAATGGCATGAAATGTAATGCTTAAAGTAAATGGTACATAAAGCATAAAAAATAAAAAAGGCATAAAGTGAAACAAGTTAATAATTAGTGGTTAGTTGGATGACCATCTTGAAACTTGCATTTGTAACTCTTTAGAGGATTGGTAGAACCAAAGCCTCCATACAATAAGTTGCATTTGCTTTTTGTCAAGTATATCATCCATTTGGAATTCTCACAAGTACCATTCCATGATCAATAATGCTTAAGTGATCCACATTGACCAAAAGTAATGTAGATCTATTAGAGGATTGGTATAACCAAAGCCTCCACACAATGAATCTCAAGGTTATTGGATCAAAGAGATCAAATTAACATACTTGGGCTTGCAAACATAGGTTTGGGTCACGAATGATTATTTATTCGAATCGAGACAAAATTTAGCGTTATGTTAAGCAATCGTAAGTGGACTTATATAGAAGTCGCACCTATTTTGAGGCCGATCAATAGCAATTTATGCACCATTTGTTTTGAGATATGATATAGAGATCATGCTCCAATAACACTTAGTGCAATAAGAAATGGACAAGATGAAGATGGGCGAGGAAGAATATGAACCACATTTGAATCAAAATTTAATCAAACTATTATTAAAATCATTCATCCATTTTTTGTGGAGTTAGACTCAAAACCATGGATCCAATGATGTTAATAAAACTCATGATCAAAAATTCAACCCAAGATCAGCCAGAAAATAATTACAAAATAATATTGCATTAAATATATACATTAAAAAAAGGTTTTAAAATGTTTTAAAATAGAAATAAAAGAGGAAAATATCAACTATGTTCAAATTAATCAAGAAATAAAAAGTAAGACCATAGAAAAATCAGAAAAGGACTCAAATATTTTTATAAAATTTTTGGTAATTTTTTAAAGTCAGAAACTATTTTTAAAATTAAAAGAAATAGGTAAAATAAACCAAAAATGATTTTAAAAAAATAACAAAGTCAGAAATAAAAAATAAATGAGGTTACCAATATTTGTCACAATATCATTGGATCATTCCATATTTTTTCAGAATTTAAAAATGCATAAAAGTATTTTTAAACATTTAAAACAAACCAAATAAAGTGAAAATTTATAAAAAATATCAAAACTCAAAATAAAATTGTGAAAAAATAAAAATCAAAAAGAGAAAAATCAAAAATATTTTTCATAATTTTTTTCAGATTTTTTGGACTAAAAATGAATTTTCTATGATTTTTTGAAGTTTAAAACAATTAAATACAAAAATAAGAAATAAAAAACAAAGTCAAAAATATGTGGACCATTGGATGAGAGTCAAAACGCGTTAGTAATCAAATCCAAGAGATCTGGCGCACTGTGCATATCATGGTCATTAGTGAATAAAGCATAAAATCAATTATAAAATCAGATTTCAAAAAAACAAGTGACACGCCATCATTGGTTGGAAGATGACACGTTGGTCATCTTCAACATCCAGCCAACGTGAATTGCATGTCTCTTAAACTGTAAAATAAGAAACTCAGACCTATGTCATTTGCTTCGTCTCTTCAAGACGAAAACAGCCACACCTTCACGACAAATTTATATAAATTGTAGCTCAAGCAATTTGGAAAGAAAGTTTTGAAAAGGGATTTAAAATTTCATGGTCAAAACATGTTTCCAGATAAAAGCAAGGGTTGCGACTAGAACCATGGCAATGAGAGCATCACATTGATATCAAACTTTTGAAGAATTGATGGAGAAATCTATCTATTGAAGTTGAGTTGCAAAGCTCTGAAACTGGACTTCTATGGAGCAATATAGGGCACGATTCTTGAAGGTAATTGTATGGTTAGCTTCAGGGAAGATCAAGGAAGGTGAATTGATAGAAAAATTGGATTGAAAAAGGCTTGAACACTGATCACGAAGTTGCATAAAATTGAGTTATGGAGCAAGTTTGGCAGGGTGATTCTGGCTATCCAAGCTTGAGGAAATGAATGGGGGATGACCCTAGATTTATAGGGAATCAAATGGAATGTTCAAACATGTGAAATGATGAAGTTTGGAGGGAAATCGTGTAAAGTTGCAAACAAGAAAAGTGTGACTTCTAATTTGATCAAAACTCATCCAAAACGCGCGTTTTGCTATGCTAATCACTTCTGGAAGTTCACTAAACATGTTTAGAAGCAAAAACGTGCAGAAATAAAGTGTTTAGAAGCTAAAACAATGATTTCAAATTCTGACTTTTGAAGAAACTTCAGTTTCAAGTTACCAAGTTCAAATCAATAGTGTTCTCAACTCAAGGGTATGCATGGCAACGGGGCAGGGCGGGGACGGTTTTTATATTCCCCAACCCCAAACCCGAATCCCAGATAAATCCCCATTCTCCACCCCGATCCCCGTCGGGGATGAATAATTGAACCCCAAACCCGTCCCAAATGGGTTCGGGGATCTTCGGCCCAAACCCAAATCCAAAACTTGCCTTAACCCAAATCCTTCCCCAAACCCAAAAATCGCCTCGAACCCAAAACCCGCCCCAATTCTAACAAATATGAACTTATATTACAAAAGTAAAATACAATCTTAAAGAATTTCAAACATATATTTCAAATAATAAAAAATACAAACGAAAGTATTAATTCAATAACCATATAATTAATATTTCAAATTAACAAAACCAAATAATCCAAAATATAAAAACTAAATAAAAAAATACAAATTCATATTCCAAACAAACACATAGTAAAAAGTATTCTACATTCCAAAATACCAACAAAACAACCACATTCTACATTCCAAAATACCAACAAAACAACCACATTCTACATTTCAAAATACCAACAAAACAACCATATAACTAAAAGTATTTAATATCATTGTCTATGGAAATTGCTAACAAAAATAGATAAGTGGCCGACACCAATATTGTCTTCTTTCTAAATGCTATTCTCCGTCTTCAAAGAGGGAAATAACACCACTAGTCAATAGTTCACCTATATAAAAAATACAAATTAAAATACAAACATTAATAATAAATAAGAATAAAATTCAAAACTTGGTTACTCTTATATTCTAATAACAAATTGGTTACTAACAATCCATATTAGTCACTTCATATTAGAAAATAATAATAAATAAATCAAAGGAAACTTTTACCTTCTTCGTCGGGCTCTATTTCATCAAGTTGTGTAATCATTGCTTAACTTAGAACTCATACCACCTAAAAATATGAATAGTAATCAATTAATAAATACAAAGTTATATGTCATTTCATAATATATAAAAATTGACAAAATAATATAAAAGCATACCACTATTTTCAGTACTCCATAACCAGCTTCTAGCACACATCAAAACCTCTAAAGTTGTCCAATGAAGTCGACTACGATGTGGGCTTAAAATATGACTGCTAGTGCTGAATGCAGATTCTGAAGCTACTGTAGAAATAGGAATTGCTAAAATATCTTTTGCAATTACTTGGAGTGTTGGATATTTGATGCCATTTAACTTCCACCATAATAGAATATCAAAATCAGGACTTCACGGTAAAACTTCCTCTTCCAAATAATGATCCAATTTTGTTTTAACATATGAAGTTCTAGCTTTTTTTTTCTTCTGAACATATGCATCATAATCATCTAAACCATCATTAGCCATCCGACTAGATTCCAACATTTGTGAGTCACCACAATTCTCTTGGTTCAACTTCAATTGATAATCAGTAATTAAGTCATAACATAGTTGTTGAATAATCTTAACTTGCTCAAAAGAGTCTTGTTCATACAATTTTTCATAATAGTATTCAAGTAACTCCATTTTGTATCTAGGATCCAAAACACTAGCAATTCCCATTATGTCATGGGTGACACTCCAATATTTATCAAATTTTTACAACATCTTGTTAGCCATTTCTTTGATCGATAAATTGGAAGAGTTAATCCAATCAGATATTGCCAATTTAATCTTACAAATCTCAGGAAAAAACATGTTGGCATTGGGATACTTAGTGCCAGAAATGATTTCAGTGATTTTATTGAACAACACCAATCTTTCACAAACATCTTTTGTAAATTTCCATTGTGAACTAGTTGGAACACAAGTGTATCGAGTGTCACGTAGCCTTAAATGACTAAATACATCCTCATACAAAATAGCAATGTCAAGCATTTTATAGGTGGAATTCCATCTAGTCGGACAATCTAAACTTAAAGTTTTAGTGCAAGAAATTCGCAATTGCTTAGCTGTCTTCTCAAATTTTTCTTTTCTTTTAGGAGTTGCAGTCCAATAAGCTACACTATCCCGAATCTTTTCCATTCCATCTTTCACTACTTCTAAACCATCCTTTACTATCAAATTTAATATGTGTGCGCAACAACGCATATGAAGTAAAGATCCATCCCTCAACAAAGTACTTAAATGCAACTTCTCCTTAATTTTTTCCATCACAGCATCATTTGTGCTACAATTATCTAAAGTGATAGTTGACAATTTTGTATCGATATTCCAGTCCATTTAACACTTAACTAAAGCAGCACAAAGTCTATCACTTGAATGAGGAGCAGGAATATAAATGAACCTAGGATATTAATAAAATTCAAAATATGAAATAAATGAAGCTAACATATTATATTTATGCTTAAACTAGACATAAAAAATTGTAATTACCTCAAGATGCAACTCTACAAATTCCAAGATCCATCAATATAATGTGCAGTAACAGCCATATATCCCTTTTTTTGATTGCTTGAAGTCCACATGTCTGAAGTAATCGCCACTCTTGCTTGAAGACTATCTAATGACTTTGAAGTTATTGTCTTCTCAATCTCGTACACTTTAAATATCTCCTTCCTAATAGTATTTCTACAAGGAACACGAAACAATGGTTGTAGAGAAGCAACAAATCGTCGAAAACCAATATGATCTACAAATGAAAGTGGATACTCATGCATAATTATTACACGTGCAAGCTCTTTCCTTGATTTTTCAGCATTATAATTACCAACTCCCAATTCTTGATTTCCTTGCGAGTTATTTGGCATGAGAAATGTTTGTCCTTTTGTAGTCTTGTTCTCATGAATTTTGTGATGAATGCATGTCTCCATATGTTGAAGCAAGTGTTTCGTTCCATTGCTCGATTTTCCACCAATAAATTTCTTGCAATATTTACATTGAGCCTTATCCTCGCCATTAACTTTCACCTTTATAAAATGATCCCAAGCCTTACTCCTAAGTCTTCCTTTCTTTGTTTCTGCCAATGCCTCTATATTATCACTTGTATCTATTCTATCAGTTGTCTCATCATTAGGTGTTTCAATTGTTTCCTTCGGTGGTGTCAGGCCATTAAGCAAAGAGTTGAAACTTTCTTCCATGCCGGGAGTTAATTGGTGTGCACTATCTTGTGAAATAAGTGGATCGATGTTACCAACATTTTCCATGTTTATCTCCTGTTGCAACATATAAAATACAGACGGTGAATAACATATAAAACAGATATTGGAGGCTCATAATTCATATGTGCTCGTGTTTTTAACAAATTTAATTTTAAATATACTAATAAATATAAGACAAGCTTAAAAATGAAAATTTTTGTTTGGCTTACTTGTTTTTGAAAATTGTTTGTTAGGATTGATTTCAAAATTGTTGTTTTCAAAATAGAAAAATGAAAACTAGTATATGCTATTTTGAAATTTAACTCGGCTTGCATTTCCTCTGCTTGAAAACTAGTATATCAATCCACCAACATTGTATTCCTCGGCTTGCATGGTACATTGATATGTGATTAATCTGGTTTTTTTTTAAAATAAATAGAGACCACACATAGCACATGTGACCGAAAATGGAGTAAGACAAGCTCCACACATAGTCTTGGAATATGAGAACAATGGAGAAAAAGTAGTTCAAAATGAAACATATCTTTCATATCCTGGAATATGAGACTTGTATTCATACTACAATAAAGATTTTGCTTAGAATAATGTTGCTTACTATAATCACATTCTTCTACAACCACAATAAATATTCAAGATTTAGAAGTAAAAATAAGAAAATAAGAAGAACAAAACTTACAGCAAAAATAATATTGATGAGGAATTGAGGACGTCAAGATGGTGAGCCATCCAGGTGAAATGGTATCGATAATGATAATGAATGCCTTCCAATTGAAAATGAAATGGTAAAACAAGTTCAATAATGAGAATTTTAGAAAAGTGAAAGAGATATAACTCATTACTGAACCATAAAAGCTAGTTTTTGGATTTCTAAAAGTCTTTTAATTGAATAAGCCTATAGGTAATCCAACGTAAATGTAATGAGATTGACATTGAGAAGTGGAAGGGTTAAAATGATAATAATAATAATAATAATAATAATAATAATAATAATAATAATAATAATAATAATAATAATAATAATAATAATAATAAACGGGGCGGGTTCGGAGACGGGTTCGGGGTGGGTACTACACTCCCCATTACCTGCCCCATCCCCATATTTTAAAATCGGGGAAAACCCAAACCCGAACTCAAACCCAGTCAAAGCGGGTTTTCCCCGTCAAATTCGGGGCGGGTTCGGGCCGGTACCCGCGGGTATGGGTTATATTGCCATGTCTACTCAAGGGGTCTTAAGGCACGATTCTTGATGCTTTAGAAAGATGAGATTACAAGTTTTGCAATGGAAAAAGAATGGAATCAAATGGATGCTTGAGCTGAAAGTTGCAATGAGTCAAAGTTGGGGAAAAAAGGTTGACTTTCCATACTTAGAAATATTTCAAATTTTTCTTCAAAAATGACCTATAATGTTTTGCATCCAAACATGGCCTTCTACTTGGAATTTGCTCTTGATCAAAAAATATGGCATGAAATAGACCTCTTGAGTGACATTTTGAGACTTGAACCATTCAAAATATTCAAAAAAATGAGAGAGTTATGAATTATTGAAGTTGGCCAAAAATCATGAAATGACCTATAATCTTTTGTATCCTTAGAGCATCTTCCATCCATTTTCTCACTTTGCCCATAAAAGAAGGCATAAAGTTCACATTCTCAAGATCAATATGGAAAAAGAGTGGGCTCAAGGTGATAAAAATTGACCAAGTTATGATCATTTGAAGTCACACATGAGAAATTGAGGATTCATCTAGAGGACTTGTAATCTTTATTCATCGTCAAGTTTCTTCCACATGAAAACTCTTTGAAACTTTTAAAGTGATTTTTTAATAACCCTTTGAAGAGAAGGATGTCTTCGAAATCACTCAAAAATACCAAAAGATGAGCAAGATATACTTCTTTGAAGTTCAAAATCCTAGCTTCTAGATCAAGTAAATGCTTTGAGGAACTTTGACAATTTTAAACAACCTTCTTATACCAACAATCTTTCTTTGTAAGTAGAAGTTGTTAAGGATAATAATGAGAACTCATAGCCACCAAAACCATTTTCATATCTTGAGAATTGAGAGAAATATGCACTTGTAACAAATGGAACAAAGTCTTGTCCAAACATGACTATTTCTTCAATCAACCCCCTTGTGCTTTTGAATCAATTTTGATAACTTTGAAATGTGGTGAACCAAAATAAACCTTTTCATGCCATTTCTTCCAAAACAACTTCAATTGTGAGGTTTGGACTCCTCAAGCTTTATTGACTAGGGCATAGAAATAAACTCATGAACCATTGGATCAACTTGCTAAACCATATTGCCTTTACCTATATCATTAACAAGTAAGACAAACTAACGTTGCATTTTGTTAATTAGAAAGAAAATCAAGACAAAACATTCATGATCACAAAAAACAAGGGTTTTGGCGAGAGGCAGATTTTCATGAACAGAAAGGATTGAAGATCAATTCTCACCTTAATACTTGTAATGTCTACAATTTATATTTTGTTTTCTTTGAATAATATGAGTAGTTAAACCCCTCAATGCTAGGGAGTGTCCCTGATTTGAATCTGTAATGACTTTGGTTTTCTTATTGCAATAACAATATTGTTTTTCATTATCCATTTAATCTTATAATATTTCTAGTGCATTCTGTGTCGGTCAAACAATGATTGATTTATGATTTACAGTTAGGTTGGACCGTGTATTGTTAATTCTTTTATAAGATTATGCTATAGTAGATATCACCTAGGACTAGAGATACCCTATAGCAACCATATATTCTTGATAATACAAATGCTTAATTTCATCGGTAAGTTTCTTTGGACTTATGGCTTAAGATGAATGATTGCAGGTTTCCTCTCCAAGGACTTAGGAGAAAACACCCTTAAGAACCGGTAATTGATTATGTAAAATAAGTTGTTGCAATATTAATTCAAAGTTGTTACAGGAATAAATCACACACCTTCCCTAGCATGTTACTCATATCTGTCGAAACATTCCTCCACATTTGTTTATTTTATTCGCAATTATTTTATTATCGTAAATCAAACTCAAACACTAGTTTTTGTCTAATTGAGCAACTATTCGAACTCTATATTTACACGCAGTCCTTGAGATCGACATTCTGGAAACTTTCCTCATTATTAGTGCAGAGGCAAAATAATACACTTGCTATTTTTTCAATCATATTTCCAAAATTCTTATTCTCAGAAAAATTATTCTACTTAAATATTTAGAAGAAATTTAAATTTCCTAAGAATAATTTAAAATTTGTTTAAATCCAAAGCACTATATATTAGTCGCAGAAATCATTAAAACATTGATTGCAAAAAGATATACAATTAATTGAAATAATATATGCCATTAATGATTACAAAAATATGTGAAATTGATTTTAATATAAGTGATATATATATATATATATATATATATATATATATATATATATATATATATATATATATATATATAATATATATATATATATATATATATATATATATATATATATATATATATATAAATTATGAGAATTATATATTTATATGAGAATATTTATTACAAAAATATGTGAAATTGATTTTAATATAAGTGATATATATATATATATATATATATATATATATAATATATATATATATATACTATATATATTATATATATATATATATATATACTATATATATATATATATATATATATATATATATATATATATATATATATATATATATATATATATATATATATATATATATATATACTATATATATATATATATATATATATATATATATATATATATATATATATATATATATATATATATATATATATATATATATATATATATTATATATATATATATATATATATATATATATATATATATATATATATATATATATATATATATATATATATATAAATTATGAGAATTATATATTTATATGAGAATATGATAATAAATCTGTATCATTAGATTTATTAATAATAGTTGAGATTAAAAGATATTTTGAAAATTCAATTCATAATTTCTCTTTTCTGTTAATGGCATATGATTTAGTGAAATCAATTTAATTCCAACAATTACTTTTCAAATCCGATGGTTTTTATTCATTCTTACATTCTCATATAACTTATCCATTCTCACAAGATATGTCGTATAAATAATATCTGACATATCTTATATATTTAAAATCATATATCAATCCAAATACGGAAAAAATAAATTGTTTTTTAATTATTTATGTTATTAATATTTTTATTTTGAAATTATTTTTAATTTAAGGTACAACAATTTTTAAAATAATATATTAAAAATTGAAATATATGTTATTTGATGTAAAACAATTTTAGTAACTTTTGTTTTTCTTTTAAAAAGATATATTTATTTTAAAAATAATAAACTCTTTCTTGTAAAACAATTTTTTTATTTTTTATATATTTATTACATTTTGAAAACAAAAAGGTAAATATCAAATCAATTCTCGTGCGAAACTCATATGTATCTCATTAATTTTTTTAAAGAATTAAATATGTTTTTAGTCCTTATAAATATCTCAAATTTTATTTTTAATTTCTATTAAAAAATGATAAATTTCAATTTTTAAAATTTTTTTATTCATGCAGTTTTAACTTCTGTTATTTTCTAAAATTTTAGAAATTGTTTAATCACCCTTAAACAACTTTTAAATTTTCAAATAATTTTTTCATACATGTTTAGAATATTATAAAATATTCCTTTACTAAATTTTAAATTTTTTTGAAATGAAAATAATTAAATATAAATTTTAAAATTCACAAAAATATTAATAAAAGTAATGAAAATAAATCAAATTTTAAGTTGATTTTTTTAAGAACTTTTTATAACATTTTAAACATATTTAAAAAATAATTATTTAAAAATACACATCAATACAAAAACTATATACATAAACTTTTTTTTTATAGAATTAGAAAATAAAACATATAATATTTTTTTATAAGGACTAAAAACAAAATTTATTAATTTATAGCAATTAAAAATATATTTAACTCTTAAAAAAAGAAATTGTTTTAAACCAAAAAACCAAAAAGAAAAGCAAACTTAAAGCCTACTTCAAAACAATAAGAGGCTCAATGAAACGGTGGGGTGTTCATTGGATATATTGATTTGGAGTTGCAGAAGAACCCTAACTGTAACCAAAAGCAACCATGGCGATGATGCAAGGGGTACAAAAGAACACCCTCTACGTCGGCGGTTTAGCGGAAGAGGTCAACGAATCCATCCTTCACGCAGCGTTCATACCATTCGGAGACATTAAGGATGTCAAGACTCCTCTGGATCAAGCCACTCAAAAGCATCGTTCCTTCGGCTTCGTCACTTTCCTTGAAAGAGAAGACGCTTCCTCCGCCATGGATAATATGGACGGTGCTGAACTATATGGTCGTGTCCTCACCGTTAATTACGCTCTTCCTGAGAAAATTAAGGGTGGTGAACAGGGATGGGCTGCTCAACCAAGTAACGAATCTCTTGTTCTTCTGTTTTTTATCTATGTGCTATTTTGTGTTTATGGTATGGTTTTGAGTATTAAATTGGATTTTTTTTTTTAAATAGATGTATTGGGGTGTATTTTGTGTCTTTCATTTAGGGTTTGATAAAGCTGATTTTGAACTAGATTTTATTTGGGTGTGGATCCTAGACACCTAGGAAGCAGAAACCACCTCTTAGAGAACGTCCGAGCAGACAGTTGATACTCTATTATTTGGGAGAGAATGATTAACTTTCCCCTGGCTTCTTCCACACCGTTGTAGACTAGGGACGCTTCAGGCGAGTTATCCCACGCGTGGGTGACATATTTGAGGAAAGGGGTGTCGCATTTAATAAATGGACGATCGTTCTAAAATATGGGCGATTAGGAAGGCGTTGTGGGCGAGGTGTTACCTCATTGGCCTCCCCACGTTGCTCTCTGCTGGCCCTAATCAATTTCAACTGATATTAAATATTAGGATTAAAAGTTAAAACATACATATTTTCACCAAATTGAAAAACCTTTTTAAGAGAAGGTATAATCAAATCTGGTAGTTTACATTGTGAAATCAAGCACACTTGAAGTATCTCCACAACCATCATTCATGATGGATACACATGACTTACCTAAATGATAATTCATGATGTATCTGGATAGTTATGCTTGGACACCAATGCAGCTTATGAATCTTGGTTATTTTAATAAACAAGTGATATACGTAATGAAAGAGCACGATGTCCGGAGTGGAGAGACAAAAATGTTTCTATACTTTGTTTATGTGAAATCTTGGTTGCTTCTTAACTGTTGTTATAGGACTGTTTAGGATTAAAAACAAAATACAACGTTCTTGGTTCAATTTTTTCAGTTGTGTGTTTGACTGAATTTTTTCAATTTTCAGTTTGGGCGGATGCGGATACTTGGTTTGAAAGGCAGCAACAGGAGGAGGACATGCGTCGCCTTGAAGCAGAGAATAAAGCTGCAATGCTGGCTGCTGAAGAACTGCACAGGAAGCAAGTAGCTGAAGAGCGAGAAGGGGAGAAGGAGGAAATTGAGATCAAGGATGATCCTATGGCAAGGGCTGATGCAGAGGTTGTTGCAAATTGAGACCTAGGACGACCCTATGGCAAGGACCGAAGAGAAGGTTGTTCAACAGAAACACAAGTTATTTGTAAATCAGAGTGAGCACTTGGTATGGGAAGCCGATGCACTTTTTAATTTGGTTGCCTCATCTGTAATGTGAGATAGGTCTGATGTACGGTGAGTCAAAATCCTAGATTATGAAACATGATAGCTGAGGGACTTGTGAGTGAAACTAAATATTGTATTTTCATTGTTCCATTGCCTCACTTGTATTGCCAAAGCTCTCCCATTTTGCTGTATTGAGAATATGATATATAATCATAGTATTGTGATTTTTAGGTTTTGGTCTTGTTTGATTTGAGAAATACATTTATGATGAATTTTTCCTATGGTTGATAATTAATAAAAAAAATAAAGCACTGAATGTTGATAATTCACAAAAAAAAAAAAAAACACTGAATGTTGATATGTGGTTATCAATTGTCCTACATACCAAAAATAATTTCTCCTAATGCAACAAGGACAACGTCCATTTGATTCTTGTTAGTCATAATTGTGGGAATATGATTATTAGACTACCCTTTGTTTAAAATGAAAATATTTCATGCAGAACTGAACTAAAATAAGTAGGATTGAACAATTAGTTACAATTTTAATCCCTAAATATATCATTTTAATGTTCGCAATATTAAACTTAAATGCCTTAAGCAAGCCCTGTCACTAACACAAACATAAAACTGTTAACCATCACCACAGCAAATGGACCTCAAATTTCGTTCAGTCTTAGTTGTTTTCCTATATTAGATCATAAAAATTTCAGGACTGGACAAAAGTATAAGTTTCCTGAAGTTCATTCACTTTATATTACCATTAGGGTAGTTTCTCGCGGCACATAGCTGACTCCTGCGCGCACTCAGGTACTTAAGTATACTCATCTGAGAAAGCCTTTCCGAAGTGTGTTGAAGCCAATATACAAACCCTCTTCAGCTGGTGCACTGAAATCATGCATGAGTCACGAGAGAGAAAAAAATCAGAAAGAATTCACATTTCAAACTTCTATTGGAATTTCATGCAATAGAAATAGCAAACAACAAGGCATTATTCTATTTCAATCCACTGAATGACTAAATGCAGCCAATGAAAGTATAGTCAAGAAAATTGCAGTGGATAAACTTCACTTATTTCTAACGTAGTGCAACACCAAAAGAACAAAAAAAAAAAACAGATCTAAAAAGTTTGTGAGGCATTTCATCAAACATATAGGGTGCATAACTAGAGGCACAAAGTATAACCATACTCACCTTGTAATCACCCTTTTTTTCAAGCTACCATATCAATCAGTTGATTAATTAACGACCCTTTCTCTTAATTGCAAAATCCTGAAAGGAAAAAATAAAATTAAAACAACACCAAAAACGACACTGTTTATAGTTGGTTTTAACAGTAGCCAGTCAAGTAACACACGTTGTGCCAAAACTATACTATTACTAAAACGACATGTCGTTTTATCTAAGACCCTTATCTCTTTTAAAACCCTTGTCGTTTTGGTCATCGTTAAACCCTTCATTTCTTCTTCTGCGTCAAACCTTAGAGTGTGATGCCTAAAGAGAAAACTAACCTCTGTTTGTAATTCAAGCTCTTCTCCAATGTCGTCTCTTTCCTTTTCTCAGTTTCTTCCACTTCCCAGGTTCGCTCTAAAAGGAAAGAATGCTTTTTTTCTTTTCAATTTTGTATTTTTTCATGAAATGTGTGTTATGGAAAGTTTTTCAGTTTCAAGTTTGGTATACCCATTTCTTATAACATGTATATGAATACAATTCCTCTAAAAAGTTTGATTTTTTATTTCGTTTTTGCACTGTGTGTTCAGCTATAGTTTATGAACTTCATGTTCTTTCAAGCTTAGTTATTTGAATGTTAGTGCAAAATTCTTGTGCTGGTTGAGTGTGAATTGTAATTTGTAAGTGTTGTTTTTGCAATTGTGCAGGTGCCATTTGAGTTGGTCTTATTGTCATGCTTCTTTGAAAGTAGTGCAATTTGGGGATCTTAGGGTTCAGTGTAAACCTGGTCATGTGGCAATGGCTAGGCCTAGGAAGAATGCTTCACTAGGTTCTGTTGAAGAAGAACCTAGTGAAAATGAACCTGTGGTTGAAAAGAAGGCAACTAAGGTTTCTAAAGCTAAGAAGGTGACGAAGAAGAAGAAGAAGAAGAAAGAATCAATAGCTGAGTCTACTGAAGAGGCAATTGATTTGTTGGTAAATGGAGGTGATGCTTCTATCGAAGAAGGCTTATCTTTATCTCCGGTTAGTGATGGTTCCAAGAAGAAAACTCGAAAGAGTAAGAAAAAAGGTAGTTTAATCTCTTTATCTTTGTGTCAATGCTGAGAGTTTTATCTTTTGTTTCTTCTATGTGTTAGTTATTTGTGTTTATATGGTTTATAGATGCATCTAGTTCTGCGGGTGTGGAAGAAGAGAAGGAAGTTAAGGAAAAGAAAAAGGTTGCGAAACAAAGGAAACCCAAAGAGGAGAATGTAATATTAGAGGATAAAGATGTTGTTGCTGAAGGTGAAATTGGTGACCAAGATGAGCCTTCCTTTATTGAAAATATGGAGGATGAGAGCGACGATGGTTTGGAACTGATTAAAGACGATGGGGAGGACATTAGTTATACGTACGGCTGGCCTCCTCTTGTTTGTTGCTTTGGATCTGCACAGCATGCTTTTGTGCCTTCAGGTAGGCCTGCCAATAGGCTTATAGATCACGAACTTCATGAAAGAATGAAGGATGCTTTGTGGAGCCCTGACAAATTTGTTAGGGCTCCTGGGGGATCTGCCGGTAGTGTTGCCATTGCTCTTGCAAGTTTGGGTGGCAAGGTAGCTTTTATGGGAAAACTTGCAGATGATGATTATGGTCAAGGGTTATTGTATTATATGAATGCAAATAATGTTCAGACACGATCAGTCTCTATTGATAGTAAAAGAGCAACAGGTGTTTCGCTGATGAAGATTGGTAAAAGGAAACTTAAATTGAGTTGTGTGAAACCTTGTGCTGAAGATTGTTTGACAAAGTCAGAGATAAATATTGATGTGTTGAAAGAGGTATGCAACTTGAAACTCTTTGTAGAAAAGGATTTAAGTATATAGTGTTCTCTGTAGCTTATAGGTTCTAGCCTTAAATTTTTATCATTCTCACCGTCTCACACAACGATCCTCTAGGCTTGAGCATCGACAGAACATAGACTATTAGACGCACCCCATTGTTTATTGAGATTTATCGTTTATTTAGAAGCGTGTTTGTTTAGAAGCGTAGCAACAAGTATTGAATCCTAGAACAACTTGGACATAGAAGCTTTGCTAGCATGCAACAAACCATCAATTGTAAGAAGTAATGCTGTTTGATGAAAGCTCGCAAATGGTTTGCTTGTATGTTAGGTTCTCTGTATAATTCATGCTTCTACTTAGTCTTATTGCTTTTAACTTCTTGAGAGTTTAGATTGCTATCCAATGCTACTGAGTGTATTAATAACATCTCGTGCAGGCAAAAATGTTTTACTTCAACACGCATTCCCTCCTTGACCGTAAGATGAGATCCACGACATTGCGAGCTATCAAGATCGCAAAGCATTTTGGAGCTGTTGTTTTCTATGATGTAAACCTTCCTATGCCACTGTGGCATTCTCAGGAAGAAACTAAGACGTTCATTCAGCAAGTGTGGAATCTTGCAGACATCATTGAAGTCACTAAGCAAGAACTAGAGTTCTTATGCGGGATCACACCGCCTGAAGATTTTGACACCAAAAACAATGCCAGGTCAAAGTTTGTCCATTACGAACCCGAAGTGGTTGCACCACTATGGCACGAAAGTCTTAAGGTTTTGTTAGTAACTAATGGAACTTCCAAGATACATTACTACACTGCTGAGATTGATGGCGCTGTTCGTGGGATGGAGGATGCCCCAATTACCCCTTTCACTTGTGACATGTCAGCATCTGGAGACGGCATTGTCGCAGGTACATATTTTTTTCATTAATCCATTTGAAAACAAAAGAAACCACTCTGAAATAATGTTGAAATCATGTCTCCCACCATTATGAGAAGAATCGTTTGAAATGTGACGCCTTTCTAGCATCAACTCACTCAAGTTTAACTGTCTTTGTTATGATGAAACATCTCTACAAGCTTAATCACATGTATTTATGAGTTCTCTTATTATCTTTTCAGCTATCATGCGAATGTTGACAGTTCAACCAGATTTGATAACTGATAAAGGATACCTGGAGCATAGCATTAAATATGCAATTGATTGCGGGGTTATAGATCAATGGATAAATGGTCGAGTGCGCGGCATTCCTCCCGAGGAAGATATGGAGGGCGACATTAATCCCGATTCATTCGGCATAAAGTCAATTACAGAAACAGAGTACCGGACAATATTAGAGCCAGTTAGTTGAACTAGGTGATATAACCAAGTAACATCAGTTTTGTACCTTACATTTCTCATAGTGAAATTCTCTTGTATAGAAAATTCTGTTTCATTTATTGATTTGCTTCTTATGTGTTTTCTATTACTAGAGGTTATATTGCCTTAGACTTAGTTCTTACCAGTTTGTTATACACATTTTATCCCTTGAAATTTCAATTTTTTAACACCTTTTTTAAAATCAATATTATGGCATCATAGTTTAGGTAAAAGAACAGTGAAATTTATCTTGATTTGCAATTAACTCAAGAGTTATAAGTCTAGTCCCTTGGTCTGAAAATATCGAATATGATCCGCGGACTAAGAACATTTAGAATTCTGATTGTTCTTTCCATCATTCCTCCAAGCATCAAACGTGCTTTGAAATAGTCAAGTGATTTTTTTGATAAGAAGTAGTAATTGTACTGATTTTTCTTTCTAAAGTGGAAACAAAAGAGACCATCATTATAACTAATAACCCAATGAATTTAGAAGGAAAGAAGGAAATTGGAATGAAGCTCTCAACTTTTATTGGTGGCTTACAAAAATTATACCATACTGCTCCAAACAACCCCTAGTAGAGAGCAAAAGGAGGAAGAAAAACGAAGACTTTCTCTCCGGAACAAAATAAATATGCAAGATCAACATGTGTCAAATCCCCTAACACTACATACAAACTTAGACTTCTGCCAGGGACTTCATATACCAGTTGTTCAAGTCGGAGTCTTCGAGTTTTGTGGTGGCTAACTTATCCAAAAACCACACCAACTTCCGGTTAGCTGGTTGGACCATTCTTGCTGGTATTGACAGACAATCGGGTCCAATCTCATCTACTGCCAACAGTACAGCATCTGCTTTGCTTTCACCTGCTGCGACCACTGCTACGTTGGATGCAGAATTGATAACAGGCAAAGTGAATGTGATTCTCTCGGGTGGGGGTATAGGGGAGTCAGTAATGAAAGTTACCCATTCTTCTCTTTCATCAAGTGCTGGGTGATTTGGAAATAAAGATGCAACATGCCCATCAGCACCCAATTCGAGCAGAATGAGATCAAATTTCGGGCAGTCGCTAATATCAGACACGTTGATAACCCGGGTTCTCACTAACTGTCTGATGACAAACTCATAATCAGCAGCAGCTTCTTCTGCTGCCACAGAATCATTAATAGAAACCGCGTGACTGGGGACTATATGAACCTGTTGATGTAACAAGCATGTCAGCAGAGAGACCAATTAATATATTAATTAATGACAAATTCAAAGCAGGTAGAAGTTAACATCAGATACAAGTGCACAATATATTTAATATGAATCTTGGAACAGAACAAAATATGAACACAAATGCACAGAAGATAATAGTAAAGATAAACTTGAAGCCTGATTATTGCATTTTAAAGATCCTAATATACAGGGTTTCTCTAATTCTACAGCTCGAGTATATTCATCATTCAACTAACATCTCATATGCCATATTAAGCTTTCTGAAACGTTTATAGTAAAAATCCTTTTCCTTTTCTGGCCGGTCTATAATCATCAAGTGGAAAGACGTACATAATTGATTGCAAAGCATATATGAAGCCTGGTAGATCTTCAGGCCAAAACTTATTTGACAAACACTGAATTCTTTACAATAATTTCACAAATACTGAATTCTTCAAATACAGGTTCAACTTTTGAGATTCGACATGTATGCATGGATCGGCTGAAGGAGCGAGAGTGTGATGAGTATAAGAAAGGGGGGGTGTGGAACAACATGATCATGGAAGAATTAGGAATTGGTCTGGGAGGTTGAGGCTGAAGGAATGATTCTTCTCTCAGAAGGTTTATCATTCATAATTAGTAATTTTCCTTTCAGTCACCATCTTGTTAGGAGATATGCTCCATTCGATAGCATTGTAGTTATTTTCTTCTTTACTTGTACATATTTCAGATCGCAGAGAAGGGGTTCATCCTGTCTAGAGTTAATTTGAATACAGCTTGTATTGGTTCTTTAGTTTTCCGGGTCTGACCAATTCATATATTGTTTCCACCTTTCCAAATCAATTTATTTTTCTGCAAGCACAGCCATCAAGATAAATTTTACAGCTTCCACATATGGGAGGAATTGCTTATAGAAAACAATAAACGAGACCAACTAACACAACCAACAACAGCAGGACTCGGGACATATTTTGTGCCTGAACCTACAGTTGTCAAGAAGAGACCCCACAAAGTATAGGCGTATTTGAATTCTTGGTCTTCTTTGTCCAGTTTAGAGCAACCAAAGAATTAAAGAGAAGTGAAGACTAGGTAAGCATTAGATGATACTTCAATGCAGAATCAGATGAAAACTAAGAATGATGACAACATCTGAATCAGATTATCAGTTTGGCATTTAAGATTTTAAGATTTATATATAATCAGAATGCGGGGGATCTATAGTGCAGAGAAGTTTGTTGGAAGAAATCGGCCCAAAACACAACTAAGTTGGATACAGAATAAACCAAGTTGAATCTAAGCCATTAAAAATGAAATCAAATACGTTACCCTCGAGACATACGCCTCAGTTAAAGTATGTCTTAACATACTGACAAACTAGCTGTTATCAAGATCTTCCCTTGTCAGGTAAAATCCTATTCTTAACATACTCTACTACAGAAAGAAGTCATATACTTGGTTGCCAAAGTCTCTTCTGCAGGTTCAACCATTGGTGCAACTCAATCAAACACATAAAATACTACCTTAGAAGGGAACAGAAGCTGTTACCATTACAATCATTTGAACAAAAATATGTCAACCATGCGAGGAATCAGACACACTAGATCAATAATTTAAGGGGAAAAACAACATTCGACTATTCAAGCAGAGATTAGATACTCCTTTATCAGTTTGTAGTGAATGATTGTATTGTATAAGTAAATCGACATTCAAAATAAGGAACATTGAAGGAAAACTCTCATCTTTCACGTGACCAAGAGAATTCTGAGAAGGTCATTCAACTTTATCAGAGTATAGATAAACTTAAAACCAGAGATGTTAAAATGAGTCCTCCCACCCCGTCCTACCGTCATTAACCGTCTAAAAGGGGGAGTCAAATCACCCCAACCCTTTTAATGACCGGATAGGCGGGTTGAAACGTCAAAGTTTTTATAAAAAAATATTAATTAAAAAGTTTACAAAAACAATGCAAAAAGTGTAAATAAAAATAAGGCCAATTTAAGGAAATCAAAATATGTAACTAATGAGGCCACTAAAAAATGAAAAGTACCATTCAAAAAATAAAAACAAGTGATATAGGTAATGAAAGAGCACGATGTCCGGAGTGGAGAGACAAAAATGTGTTCTATACTTTGTTTATGCGAAATCTTGGTTGCTTCTTAACTGTTGTTATAGGACTGTTTAGGATTAAAAACAAAATACAACGTTCTTGGTTCAATTTTTTCGGTTGTGTGAATTTTTTCAATTTTCAGTTTGGGCGGATGCGGATGCTTGGTTTGAAAGGCAGCAACAGGAGGAGGACATGCGTCACCTTGAAGCAGAGAATAAAGCTGCAATGCTGGCTGCTGAAGAACTGCACAGGAAGCAAATTGAGGTTGTTGCAAATTGAGACCTAGGACGACCCTATGGCAAGGACCGAAGAGAAGGTTGTTCAACAGAAAGACAAGTTATTTGTAAATCAGAGTGAGCACTTGGTATGGGAAGCCGGTGCACTTTTTAATTTGGTTGCCTCATCTGTAATGTGAGATAGGTCTGATGTACGGTGAGTCAAAATCCTAGATTATGAAACATGATAGCTGAGGGACTTGTGAGTGAAACTAAATATTGTATTTTCATTGTTCCATTGCCTCACTTGTATTGCCAAAGCTCTCCCATTTTGCTGTATTGAAAATATGAACAATATAATCATAGTCTTGTGATTTTTAGGTTTTGGTCTTGTTTGATTTGAGAAATACATTTATGATGAATTTTTCCTATGGTTGATAATTAATAAAAAAATAAAGCACTGAATGTTGATAATTCATTAAAAAAAAAAAAAAAACACTGAATGTTGATATGTGGTTATCAATTGTCCTACATACCAAAAAAAAATTCTGCTAATGCAACAAGGACAACGTCCATTTGATTCTCGTTAGTCATAACTGTGGGAATATGATTATTGGACTACCCTTTGTTTAAAATAAAAGGCAAAATACCCTTTTTAGTCCTTTAAGTTTACCCCAAGGTCCATTTTGGTCTTTTATCTAAAAAAAGTGTCAAACTGGTCCTATAATTCTTTCAAAAGGACCATAGGAGTCCCTTCCGTCCAAAAGGCACAAACGGACGTTTGGTTTGCATGCGTGGCAGGTGACATGGAATGTTATGTACACCATCTTCAAGCTGGTTCCATAAATCCTCAAATTCTAGGGTTCCAGAAATCCTCAATTTTCCCATTTTGAATTTGAAATTCCCTCAATATGATGAAGGAAGCATCATCAGAGATCCGGTCTTCGTACGATTGCAATAGAGATGGAAGCTTAGATGGAAAGTTGCGATGGAGACCTATATGTGGTTGTGGAGAATCTGCGGTTCTTCGAAGGGCTACCACTGTCACAAACTTTGGGAAGCAATTCTGGGATTGTCGTCATTACAAGGTAAGCATGAAATTAAAATGGGTTTTCATATATTCTTGTTCTGATAGTTCCTGCAATAGCTGAGATGAATCTGGATTTCACCATTACAGGGTTCATCTGAATTTGGGTGTGGATACTTTCAATGGTTCTTTGATGATGTGGTGGATGAGAAGGATCAGTTTATAAAGAAGCAGAATAATAGGCTGGAGAAGTTGCAAAATGAGCTTGATGGAGCAAAGATGGAGATACATCATCTAAAGGAAATGAAGGATGGGTTGAAACATAAGATAATGGAGTTACAAATTGAAATGAAGAAGATGAAGAATTCTCAGAAAAAATGGAAAAGATTCTTCTTTATTATGTTAGTTGTGGTAATTTGGATGATGTTGTAATAGACTGTTGAATTGAGATTATATGTAATAGAGTATCATATGTAACACAGTCTCAATTTGAACATGGTATCATTATGAATTTGAATTTTTGTATCAACTTGAATTTTTGAACTAGTAGCATTTTGATCAATGTAACATACTGTAAAACATACTGTAGCAATTTTTGTATCAATGTAGCATTTTGATCAATGTAACATACTGTAAAACTAGTAGCATTTTTGTATCAATGTAAAACATAATGTAACATACTGTAACTAGTAGCATTTTGATCAATGTAACATACTGTAGCAATTGAAGATAGGTAACAACATATAATTATAAGGTGGTGGATACCACTAAGTTGCATACAAAAGAACCTGATATTACAGGTCCAATCAAAACAGCCTGATATTACAGGTCAAAAAAAACAAAACAGCTTGATATTACATGATCAAAATAACTTAACATAACCAATTCTAATATTACAAGTTAACAAAACAACATAACAACTATATGTCCAATCCTAATCCAAAACAGACATAAAAGTAAACTAAAGTTTCCACTTTGGTGCTGCTCTTTTAGTTGGTGTTGTCCTTCTTGTTGTTGGACCTACAACAGTTATTGATGCCTTTAACCTCGTTGTTGGACCTGGTGGGACAAATGGTGCATTTGGCCTTCTAACTGACAACTTTTTGGATGATTTAGATTGAGATGGCTGAGAAGCTTGACCAGGAACTGACTTAGATGCTTGAGATGGGACAAATGGTGCATTTGCCCTTCTAACTGACAACTTTTTGGATGATTTAGATTGAGATGCCTGAGAAGCTTGACCAGGAACTGACTTAGATGCTTGAGATGCCACTGGTACAGATGCCACTGGTACAGATGGTTGAGATGGTTGAGAAGGCACTGGTACTTGTGGTACAGATGGTGCTTGTGGTACAGATGGTTGAGCTGCATGTGGTACTTGTGTAGTAGTTGTCTGACTAGTAGAAGGCACCTTACAAGTAAGCTTGTTGTGACCTACCTGCTTACACCTGCTACACTTTATAATGAATCCTGTTCTTCTCATCTTTTTATCAGTACCATCTAGCTCACCTTGCTCTAAATTCCTCCTTTTCTTTGGCCTTCCAGGCATTTTCCTGAATTTGGGTGGCATAACATCAGGGTACTCAGTTGTAACCCATAGGTTTGAGCCATTAACAGGGAATATGACAGGTTTGTACACTTGCAAATATCTAGATTTCCTGTAATAATCAGGAATGTATTCATCAATCATATGGTTCCTATTCTTGATTGCTGCAAGTGAATGAACACATGGTAGGCCTGTTAGCTCCCATCTTCTGCATGAACAGATTTTTTCCTTCAAGTTTACAGTGAATTTTTCAGCAGAATTTTCCAGATGCCTCACTTCAAACATATGCTCATCAGACATCCTAACACAGAAAAATGGACATTCCAAATTAAGACATCAAATGGACATTCCAAAGTCAGACATTCTAACACAGAAAAAATGATTGTTTTAATAATTTTACCTGGGAAGCCACATGTTTGTGAATGAACTTGTTTTCTCAACCTTTTTCATAATGTTTGGCAACACTTCTACATCTGTCAATTTCTGAAACCTCATCTTGTTTGTAGCCCATCTCTCCATCATGTATATCCTAATTTCTTCCACCATGGTTATTAATGGCTTGGCCCTTGACTCCAAAATAACACTATTAAAGGATTCTGACATATTATTGAGAACTGCATCGCATTTGTTATGAGTCTTGAAGTATGATCTGCTCCAAAACCTTGGAGGGGTAGACATCATGTGCTTGTATGCTTCTCCATTGATATGTTTCATAACTTTCATCTCTCTTTCCCAAGCTTGGTAGTAAGTTGATTTGGATGCCTTCCATATAATTTCCTTTAGTTTTTTTCCTGGAAATCTCTTCCTAAAGTTGTTGTAGAGATGCCTAACACAGAATCTTTGTTCAACTGTAGGCAGCAGTTCCTCCATTGCAGGCAATAATCCCTGGGTCATGATATGTATAGAATTTAATTATTAAACATGAGAATACCAGGATAAACATGAGAATTTAATTATTAAAAATACTAATCAATTGAGAATTAACAATAGAGTCATACCTTTTGTTGATCAGAAATAAAAGTGTATGTGAGACACTCTTCTCTTCCACCTAGATCACCAATAAGCAGCTCCAAGAACCATGTCCAACTTTCCTTGTTTTCACTCTCCACTACTGCATATGATATTGGTAGCATTTGATCATTGGGATCTCTGTCTATGGCTGACAGGATTTGACCTCCACAAAGCCCTTTCAAAAAACATCCATCAAGCCCTATGAAATGTCTACTTAACCTGAAGCTTTCCTTACAAGCTGCCAAGCATATGTAAATCCTTTTGAAATGTAATTTCTGAACACCACTACCTTCTTGAGCTGGTTGGACATGTACTTTCACAGTTGACCCTGGATTAGATCTTAACAACTCATGTGCATAGTCATAAATCCTTGTATAATCCCCTAAGAATGACCCATCAACCATGTCTCTTGCTGCAAACCTAGCCCTTATAGCCTTGGTTTTGTTGACCCCCACATTCCACTTCTTCTGCACCTTTTCCTTAATGTCCTTAAGCTTCATTCTAGGGTTGGTTTTAAGTACATTCTGCAACCTCTTGCTAAGCCATTTAGTCTTCAACAACTTCACATGATATTCTCTACTGCAACTATGGGTGTCTACCACCTTTCTTAGTTGCCAAGTATCCTTAACATCCAACTTAGCCCAATAACCTTCCCATTCACATCCATCCTTACACCTAACCCTAACCCTTATCTTGTCATTTTTGATGTACTTTAAATTTCTGCCAGATTGGACTGCATAAGAGGTAATTGCTTCCTTGATATCTTCTTTTGTACTAAAATATGTACCCACTTCCCATTTGTAATTGGACATATCCTTTAGAAGCTTGAAAATGGGATACTTCTTTCTCTTGGTAGTATTGTTATCTTCACTATCACAATCACTTACAAGATCCTCACTTTCATTATCACTTCATTTACTATCTTCTTTATTTGCTTCAGTTTCACAGAGATCAGTTACATCATCCTTACCTTCTTCCTCTTCCAAGTCAGTATCACACTCATCAGTTTCATCATCAAATACAACCTCCTTTGCACTATCATACGAAAAGCTACTATCATCAGAGCTATCATCATCAGAACTATCATCATCATTCTGTCCAACAGCATTTTCACTTGCCTCCTTCTGTCCAACATCATCTTCACTTGCCTCATTCTGTATAACAACATCTTCACTTGCCTCCTTCTGTCCAACAGCATCTTCAATTGCCTCATTCTATATAACAACATCTTCACTTGCCTCCTTCTGTCCAACAGCATCCTCACTTACCTCATTTTGTCTAACTGCATCCTCTTCCATTACATTCAGGGGTATCTCATCTAAAATAACTTCACTCTCATCAACATACTCAGGCTGTGACAATGGGTGTTGAATAAAGACGTCAACACGTAAATGAACCCTATATAGATCAGCAATCTCTAAGGCCCCTTTGTCATCAAACAACAGATTCATTCCAGCAGTTGGATCCTTATAGTATATCTTCTCTATGGCTGGGTAACCTAGTTCCTTAATAGCACCCAATAACTCAAAATAACCCCACATATCAGCATCTACTCTCAAATCAGCAATCTTACCTCCTTCGTACACACTCAAGTCCTCACTAACAAATTGACCACTGTGGTGTATCGTAATATTAAGAATTTCCTCCATTACACACAATGCCCTAAATAGAGAGATGAATTTCAAAGAAGGGAGACGAATTTCATGGAAACCCTAACTATGAAAATAGATTTCTTGCAGAAACTTACCTCTGATGAGAAGTCTGGTTTCACCTTCAAGGAAACATGCAATGGATGAGTGGTAATGCCACATAAGAGTGTCAAACTGAC